CTCCCCCAATTCACCGATAGAGCAGAAAGAGATAAGCAATGACCGGACTAGACCAATGAAAGTGGACAAAGGTTTTTATTCGTTAGCCAAGCGCGCCTATTACAGCGCCTCTATTATAGAAGCAAAGGGGACGCGCCCTTGCTACACAAAAATGGAAGATAAACTGTGAAGTGGAGAAAAAGACCTCTAATTGTTGAACACATTGCCATTGTAATAACCAACAATTCTACCACGACCTTAGGATTACATTTATTTAATACAATCATCATCTCGACTGTCAGATAGTAATTGTATTAAATACATGTAAGTATTGTAGCCAACTCCCAAATTTTAGAAGAAAAAAAAATGAACAAAATCACAAAAATAAAACAAAAAACCATACAAAATCATGAAGTCAAATAAAATCAGAAACCGTGGAGAAATGCAGGTTAATATTTGAGAATGATCTGTACTCTGTTCTACACAGGCAGCAGGCGAAGCCCCTCTCAAAAAACAAGCCCTAACCAAGTCGAAATCTTTAGATGTCAGTACTGCACTGGTTCACGATCATGCACTGGGTTTGAAACACGGTAAACAACGTTGAGGGATCCACAAATGGAGCCAGAGCTGGTGGTGCCAGCCGCCTGCAGCCGGGTGTTGCCACCCACCTGCAGTCGGAAAGGGCGGTGCAATACTACTTCTCACGTTCTGATCACCGCCTTTTTCTATCACCACTGCCACTGGATTTGGAGATGGAATGACTACCGGAGACAGTAATGGGATCGTCATTGAAGCATCCTCGTTGGATAAAGGGTTGGTGGAGGCAGTGCTTGCGATTTGATCAAGCTGAAGAGACACCGGGGCACGCCGTTGTAACCTAGTTGGAGCCTTCCCTGTATCGGCTTTGAGGTTGCAAGCATTGTAAATCTCCATTGTTTCGGGTGATTCTACGAAACTTTTTCAAAGTTCTTGTTCGAAATTTACGTACAAAATCAGGTCTGTCTCTCTGATGACTTGACAATTAGGGTTACTGCATGTAGAGGTTTATAAAAGGGTATGAAATTTAACCCAAAAGATATAGATAGTAATGGTGCTTAATCATGACTAATTCTCTCTTCGCAAAAATTAAGGGTTCGGTTATGGAGGTGGACGCAAGGTTGGAAAAACGGAATTTTCGTTTAACGGTCATGTGCACTGAGGCGTTGGCTTGTGCCCCAAGCTTGGTGGAGCAATTGACCAAAGAATAGGGACGATAATTGACCTATTGTACAGTGTCAAATTTGTGTTGAATTAACTTTATCTGTTGAAGAGTAAGATCTACTCACACGTATACAAGAAATTATTCCATGATACTGTAACCCGAAAACTCATCCTCCATTTATAGATTATGAACGAAGCAACACGAGATTACATCCAGATGATGACATGTATTTGTGAGTTACAATAAACGGCTATGACAATGCATACCTGTTGTTTGCACTCAAATTTGAATTTTCTTCCTCATAAATAAAAATAGGCTGAAAGCTTTTGTGTATTTGTATATACACATACAAAATTATTTTTTACTATAAACTGCTGTTATCAAGAGATGTGTATGTGTATGCATTTGCGTACACATATTTAATTTTTGTGTTCAATTTTTGATATTTTTATTTTGTCGAACACATCTAAAATTGCTGAAGATAGTAATAGTATATCTATATATAATGCTTTTCTTATGAAAAGAAAGAAGATAATAATATTTGTTAAAAGAATGAAATGATGTCTGATATCAAGATAAGTGAAGAATTATTCTATTTTTGAATAATTTGCTACTTTTCTGTTGCCATGTGCATGGGTTTGATACATTAAACAAGAGCCTTTTTTTTTGTTGTTCATCCATGTGAAGCTGAGTCAGATTCACTGCATAAAGTAAAGATATCACGCACTGTGCAAGGTTTCTTTATGGTGACCATTTACTTCAACAACACTTGGAAGTTACTTATTTTGTCGTTTATATATATCTATTTTTTTGTGATAGAACATTTTTAATGTGACCCGTGTGGTGAATGAGTTGTTAGTTAAAACATTTACGGTGAACAATGTCTGCAATTATGATCCAAACTGAAAATTTTCATTAGTCCTCCGTTAAATAAAGGGTAAAAATCGTATGTCAAACTTAACTGTGGGGATGACTTAGGGTTGGAGAGAAATTGGGATTCGATGGAAACTAAGAAGCTTGAAGCTCAAATTGACGACGTCCCTAGCTACTTTGAATTCCTTTTACTGGAACCATTAGGCATACTGTTATAAAATCTCAGCATCTACTGGTTTATAAAAGAAATGGCACGCTGCATTCCTGGTTTACATCTCTTTATAACAGCAGCATACACATGCAAAATTACCATGGATTAACATTCCAAAACCTACCTTCAAAACTTCTTCAATATCCACCCATCTTGCAGAACCCATTAGAATTATGTTTAAGGTGATTAATCATGCAAACACTGGCTCGATCGACGATCTGGAGCATATAAACGAGTCTATTCAATTCAAAACCTCCTTAGTTGTGATTGATTATATCAGGTCGACGAACACCATATACCCTCATGTTCTAGGCTTCGCGTTAAATCAATTGTTTAAATAACGATTTTAACCTCTTTTTAATATAGAACTAACTGAAATTTTGATATGGAATGTAATTGCCGATCGAGTTCACTACAAGTGTTTAAATAACAACTTTTTTACCACAAGAATTGCATTAAAAATGCTCTATCACCACATTAAAAAAATGCTATATATATGTGTGTGTGCGTGTATGAAAAGAATGATACATTCCTCTACAAAGTTAATAATCATAGTACACCATTGGCATTTTTATTGAAAAGTAATATAGAATTAAAAAGTGGGACGGAATGAGAATCATGATACTGGCATGTGAAGTGTGCAGAAAAAGGAGAAGGTGGATTTGTTCTCTGTTTTTTTACTTTAAGCTTTTTAGTCCTTGATGCTTTCTTGAAGTGCTTAGTATCTACATAATTTGTGAAATACTCAGAACAATTACTTTTAAAAACTGGATCAGGATCCTCTCCTGAGCAGATGGAGAGGATCCTCCTGACCAAGGCCATCGGGCAGTTCATTTTTTATCCAACGGTTATAATTATTATAATTTTTAGAGAGCCCCCTGTTTGTAGCCGTTGGATAAAAAATGAACGGCCCGATGGGCCTGGTCAGGAGGATCCTCTCCATCTGCTCAGGAGAGGATCCTGATCCTTAAAGACTTGCCGGTATGTCAGATGGTGCTTTATCACAATGATTGAAAATAATATTGTCAATTTATCTTGGTGAGAGTTCGAACCTTACCGATCTCCTTCCTCCTCTCACATTTAACTATCTAACATACTAACACTATTGTTTGTCGAAAAACAAAAAAAGAAAAAAAAAACCTTGCATGTAGCAATTTATTGTGTATAATGATCAATTGGTTCAAATTCACAATCAACTAAAGTTAAACTTAAGACATTTTACTTACAATTAAAATAAAAAAAAGTAAGAAATGACATCATTTTGTACCATATTGTTTCATACACATGTTTATTGAAGAAAAACAAAGATAAAAGAAAGAAATGGTTTCAAATTCTTTGTTAATCAAAAGAAAAAAAAAATGTAATTACCAGTTCGTAGTATTTTACTGGAAATTTTTTCATAATTCATATGATGAATTAAGAAGAGATTGTAATTTGTAATAAAATTATCTATAGTGAGAGTGGCACATTTTGCGGACCCCACTACCACGTGGCAGCAATAAGACTTGCCAGCTCCCGGACACGTATCACACTACTTCTGCTTCCCCTTCCCTTTGTGACATGGTGCAATCCTATTGTGTTGTGAGTTGTAACGGGCAAAAACAAACCTGAATCACATCTTCTCCTCGGTGGAGGTCGGAAGCCAAGGAGGCATCCTTCTCTTACTCTTGTAAAATTCATCTCAGTTCAGAGGTTGCTACGATACACCGTTTTTTACTACACGTTCGTGAGATCGAGTTTTACGAAATGAGGTAAGTTATTCTAGATATTGAGCTGGTTTCGAGATGTCCCTAATTTTGAGTTTTTTATTTTTATTTTTATTTTTTAACATCCCTAATTTTGAGTTTATAATATAATTAACCTTTGAATTCACGGTTTCTAGTTCTCGTTTGGTAAAATGTGACTATTTGGAGAATTACTTAGAGGATTGAAGATCATTTTGGGGCGTGGCGTATAATGGTGTCAGGCGTGCGATCCTGCTATCCTAAAAACAAAAGGGTTTTTCCAATTGATCTTCAGAGACTTTGAAAACGAAGAAGTTTTAATTTTCGAAAACTAGTGGACAAGTGAAACGAGAGTTTTCAATGAGTTTGGTCGTTGAACAGCCATCACGTTGTGTAGACGTCAATGATTACAAAAAGGTAAACAAGTTTAATTTGAAGTTTCAATTTTGCTACTTGAAATTCTAGTCTTTTTCGTCCGGTTACGGGTTAATGTGCACCGGCATCGCACGGATTCACTTGTCCGAGCACATCGACTCCAATTAAAGAAAATTTTAAAACTGACCAGTCTAAATTTCTAATGGTAGTTTTATTCTCAATGTTGGAAGAAGTACCGAGTTTAGTTCCATCATTCCTATTTGATCTATATATATATATATATATATACACATAAATTAGAACCATACGAGTACAACCACGCTAACCGAAATAATTTATGCACACTTTTTTTCTTCTGCTTATGCAAAACCACTATATATTTTGTTCATTGATTTTATTTTATTTATTCAATCCAAATAGTAAAAACAAAGCCACATGGTTTTTTTTTAGTACAACGAAACAATATATTTTACATTAAAGAGAGATTTTGGTTAAACTACACATGCTAGGAAAAAAAAATGTAAAAAATAAAGACGAATGTGCGAGAGAAGAAACAAGGAAGGGAAACTCATTACGGAATTTTGTTATCCTTGTTGAAGCAAGTAAATTACATGCACATCCTTTTTATACACACTTCCAATTGTGCTGGTTGGATCAGAGATTTTTTCTGAATTATTGAACACCAAAAAAATCAGAGTCGAAACAAAAAATAAAAACAGAACACAGAAACTTACCGACAGTCACACATAAACACAGAGATATTGAAACAGGAACTCCAACTACCAACCGTCCGATTTCTCCCTCTTTTTTTTTTTTGTGGCATTTCGTTCTCCTCCAATGGCTTTCAGCACCTCAACTCACTCTTTCTTCAACTTCAAACTCTCCAGCAAAACTGCACCACCACTTCATCAGCCAAAGAAGAAACCAGTGACCCTTCTCCTCAATCCCCGTTTTGTCCCGCCCCTTCTCTCATCTTGTAACCAATGCTTCAGGGCCAACTCTGTCACTTTCTCAAACCCTTCTACCCCCAGGCATGGATTCAGTGTCAAGGCATACAAACTGAACAAACCCTTTTCAGATTTTTGCTTCTCTTTGCGTTTTTTGAGTAGTGGAATTGATTTTAATTTTTTTATGCAATTTTTCGTTGGGTTTTTTTGTTTGTAGGTTGGATCACAGCCAGATTATTCTTCAGGGGATGATGGTGCTCAATCGTTTATTCCTGAAGCAACCCAACAGGAGGAATTTTCTTGGAAGTCTGTGATTCTTCCGTACGTCTCTCGATCAAATTTTCTATAGCTCTGTGTGTTTTTCTTATGCTTTGAGTAATGTAAATGGGTAATCTTGTTTTAGCTTCTTTGTTTTTCTGATGAAACGATATTGTAAACTATTCCAGTTACGGGTCGAACTTGGGTGCAAGGGGTTGAGGACACTTGCCCTCGCCAACTGACCACATATGCGATCTTTTTTAGCTTTAATTCTTCATAGTTGATAATTATGCAATGGGGTTTGCATTTCGATTTTGTAAAGCCACATTGTATGGCAGAAGTTGGGTTTTTTTAGTACATGTTTTGAGGACCTGAATTGGGCCTTAATCAAGCATATGAAAAGTTGAGTGCTTTTCAAAGTGTAGATCAATCAATGAATAGTGGTTAAATTGCAAGTTTCGAAGTTTACTTTTGAAAATCTCTCTTTTGTTGGTAATTTTATTTTTTATAACTAAGCTCTTGGAATTTTAGCTTTGTGTTTCCGGCTTTGGGAGGTTTGTTGTTCGGATACGACATTGGTGCTACTTCTAGTGCTACCCTCTCTTTACAGGTATACCTTCAGCTTTATGTTTTTCGTTTTTTGTTTTGATGATTAGTAATTTAATATGATCAACTTTTATGTTTTGATTTGTCACAGTCGCCAGAGCTTAGTGGCACAGCTTGGTTTAAACTTTCAGCCATCCAGCTTGGTCTTGTGGTATGATTTATCGAATCTTAGTCAATTTGGTTTTGAGTCATTTCCAAACTTGTGATCTATCTGCCAAAAATCACCAACAATACATCAACAATCCTAAATTGCATTGTTTCGATGCGGGTTAGCGGTTCCCTATATGGAGCTCTTTTTGGTTCCCTCCTTGTGTACCCAATTGCTGATTTCCTTGGTGTGTACTCTGCTTTGCTTTTGCACTTCATCATGAGGTTTTGAGCTTGATCATTATTTTTGTTAGTCTTAAATTTTAATTGGCTTATGAAGGGAGGAGGAGGGAAAATGGGGGAGAGGGGTACAATTTATTTAATTTGAGCAAAATAGTAGCATTTAAGCTTATTTGATTAGTGAGGATTAGAGTCAATAAGGCGTCCTCTATTTATCTATATCTGAAATCTGAATTCATTGAATGATGAATGAGGTTGTAGTGAGAGAAATTGAGAAAGTCAAGAAAAGACGGTCCATACAGTATGTTGTATGTTTCGGGATATCTCAACATCTTAATTTCTGCTCTCAGGTTGCTGAAAGTTTGTCATTTTACTTGCTACTTGATTATAAAAATGTAAAACAAAATCTGTTAGACGTTTTTCCAGGGTAAGGCATATGTTGCACATGCATGTAAATGGTACAAATTGTTTTGGTTTTAGACAATAAGCTTTTGAGTTTTACAACCCTTGCAAGGGGATTGTGAGTCCAACAAATTTAGTGTTGGGGGATACAGTTTGGTTCTCCTTAATACATAATATAACAAAGGCCTTGAAATTTTCCTTCAAGGAATATGCAAATGTTTTATGCGCATCTTGGCCTGCAGTTTGTATGAAGGGGCATTAGTGCAAGTTATATGCATTGGTGCATTTGAGGGTGTGATTCCGTTCTTACCGCCTTTTTAGGTTTGAACATATGTGCTTGACAACTTAGCTACTCGAACAAGAACGGAACACTGTAGCTTAGCTATAGTCAAATCTTTGCCACTCAATTTCACGCTATTTACAACAATGCCAGCCAAATGGGGCTGGGTTGGGAGGGTAATTCTCAAAAGTTTAGAGGGTAATTTTGTTTGTATGGTTTAGAACGGATTGCAATGGGTTAGGTGCGTGCGCTCTCCTCTCATCTCTCACTCTTCCTGTTTCTGGAAAACCCACAATCTTTCATCTTCCTCTGCTTTTCCTCTCTCTGCGCTCCCCATATCTCTCCACATGAAGCACACAAACCAAGTAGTGACGGTCGAAAGCCTCAAACATGGCCGAGGCGAAACGGAGGTATAGTGACGGTCGACAACCGCCTCCAGTGTCGATGAATTAGGCCGTCCGAAAGCATCCTCGCTCCGATTATGGTATGTTGAATTTCTAGATTTACCCTTTATTTGAGTCTCCTCTCTCCTTTTGCGTTTGTTTAGGGTTTATAAATTAGGGTTCTTAGGGATTTCACGCTTTTTTTTCCTTTAGAAATTGCACTATATTTCTCAGATTGGAGCTGTTCTTATTTTGAAAAAATTGGACTAATGTTTCTTTTAGCTTTCGTCTATCTGGTAATTACTCTGAACCCCCAAAAGATTTGAAATTTCTGGTAATTGTTCTCATTGTTTTTGACAATTTGTTGTTAGAATTTGTATAAATTGCTGCCATTGTGTTGTGAAGTTTTATGATTATTTCAAAGAACACCGATTCTATCAATTGCAATTCTGCAGATGGCTAATGAAATAATGGTCTGTGAAAGGAAGGAAAAAAAAAGCCTAGAAAACATTATCGGATGATGTTTTAATCAATTGAGAAAACTGTAATTACTCACATTTTAACAAATTAAGGTTTCTTATTTCACTTCTTTGCAGGAAGTTATTAATTCTGCATCACCGGTGACTCAAAACTTAAGCAGAGAAGTGGCTGACGGTCAACATAAGCTCATAGCTCTTGCAGCTGCACGAGGAAACTCAAGTGCAGTAAATCCTCTGGTACCTTTGGGTGGTCTTCATGAGAAGGTTTGTTCGATCTTAAATATGTGGAATATGTGGATATGTAGATCCGAATGTTCAATTTTATCAAATGAGTGTTGGTTGGTTGGCTATCTTAATCATGAAAAGCAATTTATTTTTGTTGAGCAAACATTATGCATGGACTCGGAACTTCTTCCTTTGAATTGTAGTTGGAAGTATGATAAATTTAGTGGGATTTGAGCATAAGCCGGTTGCCAGCCCAATACAACTGATCGCATCCCGCAAGATTAATTTATCCACATTGGAGAATTTCTTATTATACAATTCTACTGCATTTTTTTTTCAAATTTAAATATAAATTTTAAAATTTTGGTTTTGATTATGCAGTTTGTGGATTCCGTGCTGCTGCGGTATATTTAAATGCTGCTGTCCTCCACTGTTTGAGCATGGGCCTCCTCCACCACCATAGTGGTATATTTTCTTAGGAGCCTACTTTGCATGAATTATTTTGTGTAATTGGTTGACTTAAATCTTTATTTGATCTACCTATTCCAATTTGGCTAATTTTTTTTAAATTTTTTATTATATTGGAGTTGAATTTGGTATTTTGGGTATGCTATCTTTGGATGCTTAGAAAGATAGTAATTTACTTTTTGTCTTTGATTTTTCACTAATGGGATGTTGTGATGGGGTTTAGTAATTTTCAGTATTCTTCAATTATTTTGAATTTGCAAAATCAAATAACCCGTGGAAATAAATTAATATTTCATTAATCTGTATGTAAGAGGACTTTACAATATGTCATCAAGTTTAGACCGACAACAATGAATGGCAAACTTAGGATGCCTCTATTAATTTGATGTTTTCTCATGGTTGAGAAATATTTACAGCTGTCTTATTTATTGGACAACATCATTCATCCTCTATATTTAATATTAATTGCTTTTCTTAATCTATTTTTCCGCCAATCTTTTCTGCTACATAATCTCATTTGGTTTTCGATTTTGTGAAATGTTTTGGAAGCGGAGTGTGTGAAATTTGTTGATGCTGATGCTGATGATAGTGCCGAATTTGGTGACACTCCTCAACTAGCAGAGCAGGTAACAAAGCTTCTTCCAACTCAAATTTAATGATTCGAGCTGCCTAAGATTTGCATAACATTCCCAAGTTGTAGTCAATGTGCCTGAGTGGTTGAGCGCTTAACTAATGAATGTAACCACTAAGATTTGGATTGTTTTTGGGGAGTAAGAAATAACATTGCTAATTTCGGATTTATGGGTTTGAATTTTTAGTTCATTTTGCTTATCAGTTTATCTTACTTCTTTGAACCAAATGCAAATTCCAATCTTGCATTGTTAAGCCCTGAAATTAGAACAAAAAAACTTGCATGAAATTGAAGTTCTCTTATTGAGAACTCAATTTTCTTCTACTTGAAGTTTTATCTGATTGATTTCTGAATAATTTAGAAATGGGTATGTTAAATTGTGGGTTATGATTTCAAAACCCGCGGCGGAGCACGGGCATTTTTTCTAGTATGAAACCTATTTTGCACAACCATTAACAAATTGTTTGCACCATTACGCGATCTCCATTAGAAAAGCCACAAGTTTCTCAACCAAGGAAATTGGCATCATGATATCCAAAGGGTGCAAATTAGCCTTTTCTCATTTTTTTTTATTTTCTTTTAAAAAACACCAAGAAGCAGGTAGCTAGGACCATCACTATGTCTGTCCAAACATCAAATGCCCCTTTCTTTCTTTTTCTTCTGCAAAACGGCCAAAGTACCCAGATTCTTCTTTTTTATAAGAAGCTTGCTAAAGACCAAATACCACACCAACTAACTTAACTACCTCTTATATTATTAGGGTGATTTTTAGTCACCTCCCTCAAGTGGTGGTAATGCTTACCACCTTATTTATTACCGTTGGATGAGTTTAAATTTTGAGATTTGTGTCTATCCAAGGTATTAAACTCATATAACGGTGATAAATAAAGTAATGAGCATTATTTGAGTGTAGAGAACAAGAATATTCCTATAATATTGTATGCAAAAGGGAAAAAATTTCCTAATTGCAAAAGCAAAATAGAGAGGTAATAATTAAAGAGTTTTTAAGCTCTTAATTAATGGTATTTAATTTGCTTGGTAACGAGAATTATTTAGGAGTCAGTCACCTACAACATGCATGCAAATTGGAGGAGACAATTCATGGACCAAATTACAACACCGTATCCTTTGGAACTTCACTTATAGCCCCATGTTCACTTGGAAGACATGAAAATTATGAACAACCAATTTGAACACAATTCTCTTTACTTGTATGGAGGAGTTCATATAAGTAACAATCTGAGATTAGTCCACTTTCAATAAACATGTTCAGTCAACTTGGTGTTTAGAAGAACATTGCTTAGCTTTAGATCACAATGAACTATCAGTGTTTTGCTATGGTTATGAAAATAATCCAGTGCATAATAGCAACACCAATAACAATATATAGCCCTTGAAGAAGATTTTAAATTCTTGGATGTATTGATTGCTTGCCTCTTCATTACAGGAGGGGGATGCAACCACTCCTCTAAGCTCCTTGGGTGCATCAACTCATAAACTAGAGCCTTGAAATCATCATTGAGAAAACATGCAGATATGACCTTGACGTGATTTTGATGCTTTATATTTCTCAAAGCCTCGTATTCGGCTATGAAACTCTATTGTCAGTATAAAGAACCCCCTTGTATACAAACTCGAAATTGCCAACACTAGTCAAATTAGCTGAAGAAAACGGATAAGTGGCTTTTGAGAAATTAGCATATGACACTTGCAAGTAGAGCAAGTCCGAATATTAAGGGGATTATTAATTTCAAGCTATAAGCTAATATTCTTTTCTCGGAGCTCTTTAGACTTGCAATTGGGTAGCTTGAGATAAGGAATTCCTTTTCAGAATCTAGTGTTGTCAACAATTGAAATGGCACTTTGATTTTCGAAAACACCTTACACTGATGGTGGTCAAGTCTGATAGGAAACTCAACTATCTTTATAGCTTCCAAGATGATTTTATTGAAGGTTGAGGGTCTTGAGGTTATGAATCTTTCAAAAATTTGGAATCTGTAATATGAATATTCAACAATTTCGTGGCACGAACTAGACTTTAATCGATGTGAATGTTACACAAAAATACCAAGTACAAGAAGTAGTAATACACTCTTCACACAATGAACCTCATTGGTGATTATTTACTTTGCAAACTTCCACATCTACTGTGGTAACAAAAAAGCTAGACTTCATAGGCAATACACGAAATTTCTCTATCACAAAAGCACATAAAGAAGAGTTTCTATCCAAGAAAAGTATTCCTAATGGAAAGAAGTTCAGATGCAGCATCATTGATATTCTTTAGTCGATCTGTTGCTGATTCAGCAGAACAAGCAATTCCAATTCTAAATATCGAACTCAAGCACACCTCAACTTTATGAATTCTCGCACTGCATTGATTGGGATTCTCGTTCGTGCCTCCTTGAAGAAGTGGTGCGTCTGCAATCTCAGTAACTCGTCCGGGGAGAGCCATTTTGACAAAATTATGAAGGTTCAAGCTATCAACAAATATGTTGTCAATGGGTCTCTTCCCTGTAAACATCTCCAACAAAAGAATGCCAAAGCTATAGACATCACCATTTGTTGACAACTCACTCCCCATGCCATACTCTACAATTCAAACATCACATTTGTGTATAAATAATGCAGTTTGAATTTTGTAATTTAAATATTGTAAAATAAAAAAGGAAATATAATGAAGTATATATCTAGCATATATAGCATATATATACCTGGAGCTGCATAACCAACCGTTCCTCTTATTCCAATGGAACTTGTTTGATTTTGAATTGCTGAAACATTACTCGTTACTTGTAAGAGAAACCTTGCTAAGCCAAAGTCAGAAACATGGCCAGTCAATTCCTTGTCCAAAAGAACGTTGCTTGGCTTGAGATCACAATGAACTATTGGCGTTTCACAATGATTATGAAGATAATCCAGTGCACAAGCAACATCAATGGCAATTTCTAGCCTCTGAAGAAGACTTAACTGCTTGGGTACATGATCTCTTAACTCTTCAGTTCCAGTAGGTGGATGCAGCCACTCCTCTAAGCTCCCGTTGTCCATGAACTCATAAACTAGAGCCTTGAAATCATTACCATTAAAATCAACACTTGAACACACGGTTATAATCTTGACGAGATTTCGGTGCCTAATATTTCTCAAAGCTTCACATTCGGCTATGAAACTCCTCGACGCTCCATGGCGTAACAAGTTAAACACCTTCACGGCAACAAGTTGAACTTTATCATCCTCATCAAGAACTCCCTTGTACACATAACCAAAACTTCCAGCACCAATTAAATTAGCCTCTAAGAACCCGTCAGTAGCTTTGAGTAGAGTAGCATATGACACTTCCAAAATAGTGTTCCCCAAAGTGCACAATGAAATTTCTTTCCTTTTCTTCCTTGATGAACAAAGAAAGACGTAAGAGAAAACCATGGCCATTACTAGAAGAGCAAGTCCAAATACTAAAGGGAGTATTAGTTTCAAGCTACGAGACAATCTTCGTTTCTTGGTCTCTTTAGACTTGCACTTGGGAAGCTTTAAATTAGCAACAAGGCTGCACAGATTAGTGTTGCCAACAACTGAAATAGCACTCGCATTTTTTAAAACACCTCCAGTTGGTACCTCTCCTCAAAATTGATTGAATGATAAGTTCAGATTATTCAGGATTCAAGACGGAATATTTCCTGATAATTTGTTCATGAAAATTTCTAAAGCTCCAAGGTTTGAAAGCTTACCCATGTCAGAGGGGATGTTACCTGTGAAGCTATTATACCCCCAATGCAACAATTCCAAGCTCACCAGGTTCCCTATCCCAGATGGGATGCTTCCATATATTTGGTTATATTCAACCCAAAACATTTCAAGTTTGGTTGAGAGATTGGATATTGACATGGGCAATGTCCCTCCAAAATTGTTGTCGCTAATCATCAGCCTTCGTAA